TAGATAGATAGATAGATAGATAGATAGATAGATAGATAGATAGATAGATAGATAGATAGATAGATAGATAGATAGATAGATAGATAGATAAGATGATAGATAGACAGACAGACAGAAAGACAGAGATATTGTGATATGGTTTTATTATTCTACTTGTACGCTGCCCAGAGTAATTTTTTATGAAATGGGCAGCTACACAAATTTGCGAAATAAATAAATAAAACCCCCTGAGAAACATTACACAGTTCTTGCTGTCCGGGAAGAACAATTCATAACACTGACAAGGCTTCACCCTTCCTCTCCACTGAAATCCCCAAAATAAAATGTATGCGAACCAGTCACAAAAAGGCACAATCGTTTTCCAAAACAATCTTGTGTTAACGAAAACGAATTCATGCACCTACCTCTGAAACAAATTTTGTTGTGGCATCACTTAAGGTTTTCAACATCGGTGTCGCTTCAGCGTAAAATAAGGACATTCTGTTGGCCAATTCATTGTTTACTTCGTTTTCCCCTTCTGCCTACCAAAAGTTAAAATAAATGTTTGCATGATTAAAACGGGTCAAGTGGAAAAGAACACAGGGAGTTATTATCTTCTATTCTACTTATAAAGGTTACCTACTGGGACATTGTTGATTCTCATACGACTTAAGGTTCTTCTATAATAACTGAAATCATTCTGAATTGCAGGATTTGTCATCTAAAAACAAAAACAAAAGACAAGGTCAAGATACCAAGAACCTCAGGACAAATTTACATACAAGCCAGGAACAAATCAGTTTCTGACACCCCAAAATGACGCCCACAGAACCTCCATGAAATATTGAAAACATTAATTGCCAAATCTTGTGAATCAGGATCCCGTGTATCCCCCATACATGACATTTGAGGGGAGAATATGCCAGTTCTTGAGGCAGAGGAATCCTGGAATCATGTTTAAGATTTGGTGAACTTGTGAGGTTTCCTAGCCCTTTCTGCTTTCTGATCTCCTTATAGGTAATTGGTATGCCTGTCTATCATGAACACTGTTAAGTCTTGGTGACTCTCACAATCTAATTATTGTGATTTTGTTAGGTGAAATGTCAACCTCTGCCTTAACCAGGGGTGGGATTGAAAAATGTTAGCAGCCGAGTTCTCTGCCCAGTTGCTGGGTGGGTGTGGCCATGAGGGTGTGGCCTACTTGGCCTCCTGCACCATGGTGGGGGGAGGGGCTTTTCACCTTCCCCAGGCTACAAAAGCTTTCCTCAAGCCTCAGGGGGTGCGTGTGGTGAAAACGGCCTTCCCGAGGCTCCAGAGCCGGAAACAGGCTCATTTCTGGACTTCCAGAAGGTCCCTTTTTTGCCCTCCCAGAGTCTCCAACCTTGCACTTATCTGGCATCCAAAACGGGCCGTGTGGAGACTCCTGAGAGGGTGGGGAGGGGTGGGTGGGGCCAGCCAATCCTTCCAACTACTGGTTTGGCGAACCAGATGCAAAATTAGCATCCCGTTTGCCCGAACTGGCTGAATCCCACCCCTGGCCTTAACTTCTTCAAAAGAGGGCTGAGTTTCTAAATTGTAAAAGGTGGAGAAATTAGACATATTTGATTTTGTTTAATCCTGCCTTTATTATTTAATAGGTAACTCTGGGCGTTGAACATATGTGATATTTCCTTTCCTCTTCCTATTTTCCCAACAACAACCACCCTATGAGATGGACTGGCCTGAGAATGATTGACTCAAAGTCAGCCACCCAGCTTTCATGCCTAAGGCAAGACTAGAACTCACAGCATTCGAGTTTGTCCCAAACCCTCCAGTCAGCCTATGATGCCTAATAAATAAATATAAATAAAATGGCATTTCAAGCCCAAGTCACTTCACTAGCATTGATGATCATGGTACATGACCTGATCATATATAAAGCTTAGTCAATTGGCTTATTAGTGATGCTCCAAAATGTAAATAAGCAAAAATGGTGGGTCTGGGGTATAATTATCAGGATTACCAGATTTTTTTTTTCTTCCTCTGAAGACTGCACTGAAGTGATGGATAGGATGCAAAACTATAATAGCTCCTGATTTTATTCAGGTCCCTTATTTATACCATTGTGGTTGGTTATTTATATTCTTAATATGGATTCATAACCTGACTCATCTAACAAAAAGATTCACTAGTAAATATGACTTTTCCAAAAGAATATTAGAAATATATTATTTCTGCAAAAGGCAGAAATAGGAAGAAAGACATATTTAAGTACCTCTTTATGTTCTGACTGAGGCTTCCCAAGAGCATGAAGCAAATTCCTTGTCCCGATAAAACACTCTTTTATTAATTTACTGTGAATTCTGCTCATTCACATGCAGCAAAGTCTTTCAAGGGAGGATTTACAGTCACAGACCTTATCTGGCTTGGAGAGCTGACAGGCCGATATCTGCAAAACTTGGCAAGGAGTCTCGGAGAGTCATGAATCAATTAAGCAAACTAATTGTCTCCTGTAAACTCCACTCCCCTTTCATTCCTCTTTTATTTCCTCTGGGAAGGGACATTCATCGTCTACCTGTGGCCTTACTCCCAAGTTGCTCCCTGTTCTTTAGCTGTTCATCTGGCAACTCTGCGCATGCGCACACTGGCTGTTTTGTCTCCCTCACTGATGTCTGACTCTGAAGGCAGCTGATAACTGGCATACGGCTCTGGCCCCACTTCTGCCTCCGACACAGAACCCTCATCAGAGCCTTCCCCAGACTCCAGGACTGGCCCATGTTCCTCCCCAACCTCCTCCCTGTCCTAATCTGCCGCCAGCTCTGTGGGCTGCTGGCGGGCCACACCACCTTACTTCTTTTAAACGCAATCTGAAAAGAGACCAAACCTCACAGTCAATAATATGACGGTGATCATCCAACCGTTCAGGAATTACTCTGTATTTACCTTCAGCTCATCAAACCGAAGCGTGAAATGAAGGATTTCTGCAAACTGTTTAGCAAGAGCCTGCTCTCGCTCCAGATGCTGTGTAGGAGAATATGGCGTGCTAGTCAGGGCCCCAAGGAGACCTCGTAAAGCAGCTTCTATTTTGAGGGTGGAAAAAAGAAAGACAGGCATATATCAAACACTGGGGACGTGCTGGTAATATCTTGGCATAATTCACGGTTACAAAAACAGGGGGTAGTTTAAGCATGACAAAATCCTAGGTGTTGGTGTGTTGTTTAAACACTCAAGTTTAACCTGCTTCCAAAAAAAAAAGAAAGGAAGGAAGGAAGGAAGGAAGGAAGGAAGGAAGGAAGGAAAGAAAGAAAAAAACAAACAGGTACACTAAAAATTTACAACTCAAACACACCAGCAAGCAAGTTGCCAAAATGATGTAGGGGTGTGATTTTGTTTTTAAAAGTCACCTCCGATCATCTGTCATGCTGAGAATTGATTTGCGGGTTGCTAATCTAAAAGTGTGTGAAGTGGAAATACAGAATTGAATAAAATAAACACTCTGAACTATTGCAGGCATCAATGAGCTAATGCTCTTACCTAGCCTCTGAGAAAATTCATAGAATTTCTTTAGTTTGCCCACTAGGGGGACAACTGCACCCCACGCCTTCTCTTGCAGTCTCTCGTCGGTGGGATGCTGTATCGCCTGGAAAAAAATTAAAATGTATTTCATAAAAATAGGAGCTCCCCTTGACCCTAACCTTTTAATATTATCTTTTTGTTGTTATTATTGATTGGTTGGTTGGCCTAGAGGCCATACCAATGTACAAGGTTCAAACACATATTACCAATAAAATCCTATACAAACTATTTATAATAAGAGTAGGATGAAATACAATAATTTAATACATAAATATATAAAACAGAATAAAGTGACATAACATTATACTTCTGTACCACCCCTGCAATCTACACCAATCTTTAATATTATCTAATGACCAAGTAGAGGCATCATTTTGTATATTGTTTGTACATTCTGGGGAAAGAGAGAGGTACAGGATCGAAACATTTTCAGTGTTCACATCAGGCTATGAGGTCAATAGCAGCTCTATGAGGATCACCTTTTACAACAAGTTTGTGATGCAAAGGCAAACTGGCAACTGGTGTGTATTTACAATGGTTGCACAGTGCTCCATGGTCACGTGATCTCCATTTGCAACCTTCACAGCCGGCTTCTGATTTGCAAAGTCGATGGGGAAGACAGCGGGAAGTCGTAAGTTGCAGTTAGGTGACATTATGCTTAATGACTGTGGGTGGCCTTAATGACCATAGCCAGAACTGATAGATTGCTGTTGTTAAGTTGGGAATGGTCACATGATTCTTCACTTTACAATTGCACAGTCCACAGCCAGGAGTTTGATCTTGACCGGTTCAAGGTTAACTCAGCCTTCCATCCTTTCAAGGTCAGTAAAATGAGGAGCCAGACTGTTGGGGGCAAGATGCTGACTCTGTAAACCGTTTAGAGAGGGCTGTGAAGCACTCTGGAGCGGTATAGAAATCTAAGTGCTATTACTTCCGTGTTTTCCCCAAAACAAGACCTAAGTGAAAAATAAGCCCTAGCATGATTTTTCAGGATGCTTGTAATATAAGACCTAGGTCCAAAATAAGTCCCAGTTAAGATCGTTAACCAGATGGATGCATTTAGAACTGTATTCCCCCCCCCCAAAAATAAGACCTAACAGGAAAATAAGCCTTACTGTGTTTTTTGGAACAAAAATTAATATATACCCAGTCTTATATTTGGGGGGGGCACAGTATTAATGAAAGAATTACTGGTCCCAAGGGCAGTCTTTGATCCACATACTGATGGGTCAAAAAGTGGGGGAAAGGAGACGCCCTAAATAAAGTATTATCCTTAAAGGGAGCAGTGTGGTGGTGACACAACAAATGAGAAATAGATGTAATTTGTGTTACAAGCCCTTGATTGCTTACATGGAAAAACATAAAGCAAGCCCTCTACATGATAATATATTATAACATAATAACAAAGTTGGAAGGACCTTTCTGATTGCTAAAGACATGCTTGATCAAGACCCAGCTTTTTTCAAACTTGGCAACTTTTAAGATGGGTGGACTTCAAGTCCCCAAATTCCCCCCAGCCAGCATAAGGCTGGCTGAAGTCCACCCAGAGTTGCCAACACTGTGTTGAAAAACACTGATCAAGACTCTTGACCTACTGAATATGCTTGTAAGTATTATGTTAAGGCTAATATTATCTAACTCAATATTTTCTCACTTAAGATACCAAGAGGACTTCACTGGTTGAAAAGTAGCTCATGGGCGCTAGGCTTTTAAAACAAGATTCCTGAATTGAATGTCCGATGAATTTTACCTCTCGTATTTCATGTCCAGCTCCTCTGTACGATTGTAAGTCTTCCAGGATTCCTTCTGCATCCTTTAACACTACATTTACTTGATTGTAAATTTCCTTTTCTGATTCTGTAGGTTGAGCATCTACACACAGGAGAGAATATCAGGTTACATATTTATCCTCTTTACAAATCCATATATTATGTCCATATTTTATTCCTAATTCTATCAACTGTTCTCAACTCTAGTGGAATACCTTTCCACTATGACTTCTGATGACAATTTATTTGTCATCAATTCATTTGAAATAATGTCTGTGTGACAACTTTATTTATTTATATTTATCAACCAGTGTATCTCTTTTAACTGTTACTTTTGTGGTAGCCTTGGCAGATCTCGTTTTATCAGTTTACTTTCATATATCATTGCAAGAATCTTGCAGATTAAAGTAGATCGATTGCATTTTCAGGCAATGTGTCCCCACCACCAAATATAAAAATATTATCACTGATCAGCATCTTGTGAAATGCTAGGTACCATTCTGAGTGATTTTAAGAGGCTCATAAAAAGAGATACTACAATTATTATAAAACCACATAGGCATAGAACGTATTCTAATTTTATTTAAAAAAATCTTTACTCAAAATCAGGAACATTTAGCACATTTCTTCATTCTCTAGCAGTGCTTTTCAAAAATTAGAAGGCCCTGAGCTGTATACTACTTTGGATGTGAAAGGAAAAAAGTATTCTATAGTGAATGGGAAACATCTCATTAAAGTATCTGCATCTTTTCCCAGGGTCACATGGCTGACTTTTCAGTGAATCCAATAAAGATGGGTGTAGCTCAGGGGTCGGCAACCTTAAACTCTCAATGAGCCACAAAGGTCCTACAGGAGCCCCCCATTCAATTCTGGAGCCGACCGGAAGTCTGGTTCAACCACCATAAAGTCTCCTCCTAGCGCGGCGTCCTTTTTCCACTACTGGTCCTAACTGAAAGCCCTATCAATTGTGGAGCCGATCAGAAGACCAGCCCCTTGCCATAGAATCTCCTCCTGGCGCGCCATGCTTACGCCCTCCCCCCACCCAACCGGAAGCTCTTCTCAAAATTGTGGAGCCAACTGGCGACAGGGAGCCACAGCAGAGAGATGAAAGAGCCACATGCGGCTCCAGAGCCGCGGGTTGCTGACCCCCAGTATAGCTTAAGGAGTTATCACCTAGTGAGATGACTGTACCACTATGGGCACCAAAGAATCTTTTTTCCTTTGAATCTGAAGGGCTGCACAGCCTTCATAAGGGAAGCTTCTAAATGGAAATGCTCGTTATGGCCTTAATCAGGAGAGTTACGCACACATGTGGGCAAAGGGATGTTTGAGCATGTGATACTTCTTTCCTCCTCCTATTTTCCCAACAACATCCGCCCTATGAGATATTTTTCTTGCCCAGAGTTACACACAGATGTTTTGCTTGCTCATCCAGCTGCTTTGCAGCAACTTCATTTTACAAAGAAGAGACACTTAATCTTAGGGTTTTGTTACATTCAAACTGTAAAACTGCTGATTATTCAAATGAAACCAGTTTCACAATGAGCTTTAGGGCCCTCTTTTCGTTTGAAATTTGTTTCCTGGTTCTGATAAAATAGGACACAATGGTTGGAGACTTGCTAGCTTTGCAGGATTTGTTCCACTAGAGTTGAGTACAAGTTGTGTTGTGCACCAACAAAATATTTAAATATATTTACTATAACCCATAATTAATTAACACAATAGCCCCTTTCTCACCTAAATGGATATTATTGCCTCAATGAATACTCCTAACACATGCTCAGATTTTTTTCATCCTTGTGTAGCCCACTCTCATATAAATTAGCCAATAAAAGAGAACTTAAATTTATGATTCAGGCATTGTCTAATAAGTTTCTTTTTCAAAAATGCATAAAACAAATAGTCAGGGCTTATGTAAAATACATAAGTGAAAAACAGTTCTCACTTTCAAAATCCAGGAAAAAGTTTGGTCCCTGTTCAAGGTCTGTGCATGTCAAAACTTTAAGAAGGTTCCCCATATTAAGATGCCTGTTGAGACAAAAAAAAAAAAGACGTATTTTCTTTAGGAAATATTTTTTAGGGAAGACATTTTCTTTAGGAGGAGATGTATACATCGATATTCACATAGCCTTGGGACAGGGATGGTTTTCACTTACCTTCCCTACCAGTTCGTAAATGTGTGCTCGCATACGGCCTGTCCGTGCATGGCCCGGCCTTCCGCGTATGCGCATTGCTCAAAAAACACCCGTAAATAGGATGAAATAGATTTGGGGCGGGTGGGTGGGCCCACCGGTGATTTCTACTACCGGTTCAGGCAAACTGGTCTGAACCGGCTGAATACCACCTCTGCCTTGGGAGCTTAGCCACTCCCTGTCAAAGAACAATAGAGTGGAGATAAGGTAAAGGTAAAGGTTCCCCTCACACATATAAACTAGTTGTTCCTGACTCTAGGGGGTGGTGCTCATCTCCATTTCAAAGCCGAAGAGCCAGCGCTATCCGAAGACGACTCCGTGGTCATGTCTCCGTGGTCACGCCGAAGGCTCACTCAACGCTGTCACCTTCCCACCAAAGGTGGTTCCTATTTTTCTACTTCTATTTTTATATGTTTTCAAACTGCTAGGTTGGCAGAAGTTGGGACAAAGAACGGGAGCTCACTCCGTTACGTGGTGCTAGGGATTCGAACCACGAACTACTGACTTTTCTGATCAACAAGCTCAGCATCTTAGCTACTGCGTCCCCTAGAGTAGACATTTCACATCCAAATTCCCAATGTCGTATAGATGACAACTGGCTCTTCCATAACAAATGAAATACCCAAGAACTCCATTCCCCTGAACTCTGATGAAACTAATTAAAAAGGTATATAACTTCTTACTAAATTTAAAAATGGAGGATGAACAAATAAAAGATACAATGGTACAATGGGAATTATTATTATTTTTGCTATAACATAGAACTAAGAGAAATGGCAAAATTTATGGGAAAGAAACTATAGGTTAACCATGGCTAGTTCTTATAAAGAAAATTTATATAAAATGTTTTGTAGATGGCATTTACCACCTGCTAGTTTAGCTAAAATTATAAAAAATATGTCTACTAAATGTTGAAAATGTAATTAAAAAAAACTGGCACATTTGATTGTATGTGTTTTTATCGGCTTGTGTTAAAGCTAAAAAACAATGGGCAAAAATACACAGATGGATAGAAAAGACAATAGGGAAACATGTAGATTTCAAACCTGAACTGTTTTTATTAGGGATGGTATCAGGAAAAAAATGGTATCAGGAAAAAAATGGATATGTATTTACCCTCTTTCCCTGAAAATAAGACCTCCTCAGATAATAAGCCCAATTGGGCTTTTGAGCACATGTGCTAAAACAAGCCCTCCCCCCTAAAATAAGCCCTCCCCAAAAATATTGCAATACAGCAGCAGCCAGGAGGTGACCACGCTCGCCGTCTCCTGCACCTCAAAAATAATAAGACCTCCCCAAAAATAAGGCCAAGTGCTTATTTCGGGGGTCAAAAGGAAATAATACAGTCTTATTTTCGGGGAAACACAGTAATATTACATGTCTGAACAGCAGCGAGGATTATTTTTGCACAATATTGGAAAAATGAAGAAATACCGCAAGAAGAGGCGATAAAGAAGATATTAGATTGTACAGAAATGGATAGACTTGCATTGAAAATCAAACAGAAAGAAGACACAGAATATTATCAAACATGGAACTTATTTTACCAATGGTTGGGAAAAAGGGGTGGAGAGTAATAAGGGCGTTAAGCAATTTAAATACCCAGACAATTTGATGTTTTTTAAGCACTAAGAAGTGTAATAAATGGAAAATTAATAATTAATTAATATTAATATTAATAAAAGAACCCCATTCCGAATTCATTAAAGCCACAGACCGCACAGTTATCCAGGTACAATTATACCACTCTCCTAAGATTTAACTGATGCCTAGGAGTTGAAAGAGGCTCTTTGAATTACTGAATCCAGTCCAGAGGTGGTTCTCAACCGGTTCGTCCAAACCAGTAGTGGAAACCACCTGCCCAGGCTCTATGCCGTTCTATTTAGGCACATTTTCAAGCCATTTCCACATGCGCGGAAGGCTAAGCGCATGCTCACATTTGCGAACCAGAAGGGGAAGTAAGTGAATACCATCCCAGATCCAGTCCCCTTGTCAGTGAGCAAATATATTTTCCCTTTGCCCACAGCTGGTAGATTTGGCAGATCTGCATCCAGGTCTTCCTTTCTTTGCTGCTTTTACATCACATTAACAGCAACTTCTCATCATCCTTCCATACTATAAAATAGGGGCCAATCAGCTTAATGCCCTTAAAATGCTTTGGAGTATGACTTCCAATGCGGCTGATGGAAACTGTAATCCAGAGCATCCAAAAAGCAGAAAGATTGCTTATTCCTCAATCTGTATCATCACAGCATGTATCAAACATAACTATGCAGTTATATTTTTTCTTCAATACTAAGCCTTTCTCCAGGGGTGGGCTGCTGCGGGTTCGCACGAGTTCGGGCGATACTCTAGCTAAGGATCTGCCCAGTTCAGAGAACCCCCAAAACCCACCCCTGGCGCTTCCTATCCTGCTCCTCCCATGAGTCTCCACACAGCCCATTTGGGATGTAAATACAGGGCCCGCGTTGAGGCTCTGGGAGAGCGAAAAACGGGCCTCCCAGAAGGTCTCTGGAGCCTGGGGAGCAGTTTTCGCCCTCCCAGAGGCTCTAGGAAATCCTCCAGAGCCTAGGGAGAGTGAAAACACACAGAGACCCCGCCATGGTGCAGCGCGTGACTAGGCTACGCCCACCCCCAGCAACCAGGCAGAGAACCCGTTGCTAAAATTTTTGAAGCCCACCCATGCCTTTCTCCTATTTGGCTTCATAGCTACACACATAGACCCCCACCTGTATCTTCTTGAACTATCATAGAAAGGGATATCAAGTTTCTTATTACTTATTTACATATTAATAGCAGTGGTGGGATTAAAAACAAATTTCTACCGGTTCTATGGGCGTGGCTTGGTGGACGTGGCAGGAGAAGGATACTGTAAAATCTCCATCCCCTCCCCACTCCAGGGGAAGGTTACTGCAAAATCCCCATTTCCCCTGATCAGCTGGGACTCGGGAGGCAGAGGATAGAAGGGGTGGGGCCAGTCAGAGGTGGTATTTATGGGTTCTCTGAACTACTCAAAATTTCCGCTACCGGTTCTCCGGAACCGGTCAGAATCTGCTGAATACCACCTCTGACTGGCCCCACCCCTTCTATCCTCTGCCTCCCGAGTCCC